GTTTGTCACATTTTAATGAGATGCTTATAAGTGGTCCATTGGTCTCAGATTACAATGACATCTCTCACATGGTATTTAACATGAATTCTGATTAATGAATACAAGTGAGTTACACCCTAATAGAAAAATAAATTGAAAAGAATTAGATTAATATTAACAAATTCTGAATGAAGGCTGCATATTTTAATGTGAAAACTGCCACACAGCTCTCATTATGCACAAGAGGGATACTCCATTTTTCCTTCATGACACTGTACTCGGAATGCAGAGTCTGGTGACAGTCTACGATAGTAACCTCGACGACACCTAAATTCAACAAAATCATTTGTTCTGGAATAAACCTTTTTCGCATATGAATATCTCAACTCTATGTTATGTGCTTCCATGATTTCTTCTGATATTACACATGCATCTGAAGGGAAAAAAGAAAAAGGGCATAAAACTTTAAGTAGTATACAAATATTTTCCACAGAATTTTAGAGTTTTATGTAGAACATTCTACACAGATCCAGGAATTTATTCTGAAACCCTTTTCCAAACCAATTCATTGAAAATCCATCATGTTGCTATAACTCATTTTAAACTATTGATGATGTAGAAATAAGGCACTCTGTGGAATGTGTGATCATTGCATGTTATAATCAACAAATACAATATCAATTATCCTTTGAAGGGCTTTCATTAAAGAATCCTTGAAGGGGGTGGTGGAGGTGGATGAGGGTGGAAGGACATAAATGGTGAAGGGGGAAAATAAATTAAAATAAAGGAAATTGATTGTTTCTTGCTGTTGTTGCTCAAGAATTTTTCAGATTTTATACCCTAAGACATTAATATTTGGTAGTCAACATAATAGGTGATTGTCAATGCAAGTTCTATTATAAACAGCAAACATGGCATTCATTACACGGATTTCCCAGGGTCCAAGAGACATGAAAGGACTTACCTAAGCATTTGGGTGGCTCAGACCACTGTCCATCTCGGCACGTTATTCTCCTGTTTCCCTCAAGTTCATAGTAGGCCTGGCATTGATACTCCACTGAAGACCCAGGAGCGTAGACTGCTAATGGATCCGTGGTAATGTCTCCATTGTCAATAGCAGGAGGG